GGTGATGATTGGCAGGCCTAAAGGAGTGAGGGGCCCAGGTGAAATTTAAGCTTGGTGACAGATGACATTGTAGTCAAGGAGCTCTTGGATAAGGGACTCTCCTTCTCAAATCCAGCCTCAATAAAGTCTGCACAACCTTCAGGAAGTTAAGGGCCAGGTTTTAAAACATGGCTTGTTGAAAATAAGAGGGATGAAGACAGTAGGGCACACCGACAACCTAGAAGCCCGCCACCCCTCTCCTTTTGCATACAGCCACTCTGCTAAACACCCTACTTAGTTGTTTCTCCTCCACTGAGCCTTCCCTGATTCCTAAGATTGTTCAAGGTCTCACTCCTCTTCCCATCATTCCTGAGCCTGGTTCTATCATGGCACTGATGACCTTGCACCACAATATCTATCTTCCCTTCTAGACTGAGTACTCCTCAGGGCCAAATAGCCCTAATGACTTGAATCTAAAAAGTAACATGTTCAATAAATGTTGGCTGAGTTAATAAATTCAATGTTCTAATATACACTCTACTCTGTGTAATTGGGTCAACTGGTGATTACTTGGAGACTCGCCTGCTGGCAGGAATTCTGGACTCTCTTCGAGTTGGAGCTTAAACAACTGGTAATCAGATATCTAGAAGGAGACCAGAACACCCTCCCATTGTCAAAGCCACAAAGCAAGGGTGCCTCCTCTTTCTCCCTGTGAGGCTGCCTCTCCCTGTCATCAGATCCTCCTGAGAGCTGTGTTGATCATCATTTGACACTCATCACCAATTTTAATTAGATACAAATAAAATCATAGTTCTCTGAGATTTAAATACTTCTGATTTTAGGAAAGCCTGCTAGTTGCTGGTGCCTTCAGGTAAGTCTCTGTTGCCATTGGTCTTGACCTCACTGGACCTCACCTCCATGAGCCCTGGGAGACATACGAGGCTCTCACAGAGATGGTCAATCTCAGAAGCCCAATACAAGATGGCTATAAATCAGAACTGACTTGATGGTTAACAGGTAGATATCTTATCTCATGTGGCTTTCTCTTCCCTAATTTTCCCATGGACTCATACTGGTAATTCTCCTTTACCCCACAGATTTCCCCCCAAAATATTCACAGCCAAGCTGCTGTCTTCCAAATTTCTTGGCATAGATGAGTAAGTGCTACCAGTGCTTTATCAGCTTGTCGAAACCTTTCAGTTGGTCTTCCATCCATTTCTGGGGTCTAGTTTTTGTTTAATGCTTTCAGGGCAGCAGTGCCTTTGGTGCTTGCTCATAAATTACCCTTGAGGTCCCTGGGTGGCACAAACAGTTTGTGCTTAACTGCTAATCCAAAGGTTGATTATATGGTCACCCATGGGTACAGCAGAAGAAAGGCCTGATGGTTTGCTTCCATAAAGATTCCTTCAAACCAAACAAACTTACTGCCATTGAGTTGATTCCAACCAATACCGACCCTACATAGGGTTTCTGAGGCTTTAAATCTTTATGAGAGCACATTGTCTCGTCTTTATTTTAAGGAGCAGCTTGTGGGTTTGAACTTCCAAGCTTAAGGTTTAGCAGTCTAATGTTTATCTGATCCTATGGGGCAATTCTACTCTGTAATACATGGGGTGAGTAATTATGACTTAAAACTGACTTAATGGCAATGGGAATTATAATACTATTAAAGCACATTAGGAGTGCTGGTGGCATATGGTTTACACATTGGGCCACTAAACCCAAGGTTAGCAGTTCAAAACCATCAGCTACTCCATGGGAGAGAGAAGAGGCTTTCTACTCCCATCAAGATTTAAAGCCTTGGAAATCCACAGGGGCAGTTCTAATCTGCCCTATAGTGTTCTAGGATTTCTCTGTGTCTGAATTGACATTGAGTTTCATTTGGTTTTGCATTATTAGAAGCAGCAAGATGGACACTGTCTTACTTTCCTAGTGCTGCCATAGCAGACATGCCAGAAATAGGTGGCTTAAAAAAACAGAAGTTTGTGATTTGTCTTGGTTACATTGTCCTGGCTGAATCCCTACCAGGTCTCTTACACCCTCCTTGCCACTAATTTTGGATCACTTGGTGCTCCCCTGTCCCTGGGTTATTCAACACCACCTCCTTACCCATGCCTCCCCCTCTCCC